GAGTTTAGAAATTTAAATACTGTCCATTTAGTTCATCATTTGTACTGTAACAGAACTCAAGGGGTGGAAATGGAACACAATCCAAAGAAGGCTTGAAAGCAAAGAACTTTTTGTTACTTGTTACAAGTTAGGAGGGTGTTGGGGTGGATAGCTCTCAAAGCATTATCTCCCTGTGGGGTTAGTACAGGAAGCTTTTATTCAGTGTATTAGGGGGCAGTGGCAGGGAGCTTGCATGTGCATTAAGGAACATATATGCATATTCTATTACTTACGTACTCTGGTTCAATTGCACATGCCTAGCACATCAACATGTTAGAGCATACATTGTATGTTCAAAAACTGGTGGAAAACCCCACCCATTGGAGAAGATCTTAGTATTATAATGAGCTAAAGGTAACTTCAGGACAGCTCAGGGGGAATTGTGTGTTCCAAATTCATTCAAAATGGCTCATACAAGGGGTACCAGGCAAAACACCTACTCAGGTGTCTGCTTGGCAGGAACTACTGGTCCTGCAAAACAAAACACATTTTGTGCCTCCCCCCACCCCACTTCTGCTGATAGCTTGCATCCTAGAGAACACTACCAATGCAATGGTTAACACTACCTCAAACTAGTATCCTGGATATTGTTGACTGAATCTAAGGTTGTGACCCAAATGCCCAAAATATGACTGTGATATTGTTTTGAAATTGAGGTATAAATTACATATAGTAATACAGTGAAATGAACAGCTCTTAATTCTTTTTTTAAATTCTATTGCAACTTATTTTTAAACATTTTTATTATTAATTTTTAAAATATTCTATACAGCCAATATAGAGCTTGAACTCAGGACTCTAAGATCAGAGTCACATGCTCTACCAACTGAGCCAGCCAGCCAGCCTCCCCCATATCATAATTCTTATAGTTTGATAAGCATATTGAAGATATAAAACTGTCAAGATAGAGGCGCCTGGGTGGCTCAGTCAGTTGAGCATCTGACTTCGGCTCAGGTCATGATCTCACAGTTTGTGAGTTCGAGCCCCACATCAGGCTCTGTGCTGTCAGCTCAGAGCCTGGAGCCTGCTTCAGATTCTGTGTCTCCTTCTGTCTCTCTGCCCCTCCCCCACTTGTGCTCAATCTCTGTCTCTCAAAAATAAATAAATGAAAAAAATTTTAAGCTATCAAGATATAAAATGTAAAAAAAAAAAAAAGATATAAAATATTTCCATTATTTGGGAAAGTTCATTTATGGCCTTTACGATCAATCCCTACCTTTCCCCCTCAAGCTAGTTTCTTTTACCATAGATTAGTTTCAACTGGTTTTAGAATTTCACATATATGGAATCATACTCTCTTGTGTCTAGCTGCCTTAACTCAGCATAATGATTTTGAGTTTCATTCATATAGTTCGTTTCTTTGTATAGCTAAGTAAGATACCAGTACTATGAATATACCATAATCTACTTATCCATTCATCTATTAATGGATATTTGAGCTGTTTCCAATTTTAGGTTGTTTTGAATTCAGCTGCCATGAATATTCTTGCACAAGTCTTTATGTACATGTGCTTTAATTTCTCCTTGGTGATCATCTAGAAACAGAATTACTGAGTTAGGGGTTCAACTTTATAATAAATTACGAGTTTTCTAAAGTGGTTGTATCATTTGATACTCCCACTAGCAATAAATGAGCAATCTAGTTGCTGAAAATGCTTGTTAGCATACGATATTATCAGTCTTTTAAATTTTAACCATTCCATTAGGTATGTAACGGTATTGTAACCAAACTAACATAAATTCAATCCTTGGTAAGTCACAGGTAAGAGCTACACCCCAGGTGGAGTTGTCACACACAGTAAACTTTATTTGCAGCAAATAAGGAGATCACAGGGAATAGATTCCAAAGCTATGAGTCCCTGAGCAAGGGTGAATGGATTCCTTTTATTCAGGGTTAGGATGCAAGTAGAAAGGGGAACCTCATCAGCATATGTAGAAGCAGGCATAAGATTGTGCATGCGCCTTAAGGAAACATGCCTATACATGTGTTCTGTGAATGAGGCTTGTTCCCTGCTACCGCCCCCCACCCCCCCCCCCCCCCCCCCCCCCCGCCGGGTGGAGATTTTAGTATTATAATGAGGTAAAGGTAACTGTCAGTCACCCCACAAATCATTCAGTGGTCCATTTCCACAGGCATGAGTCGGGGGTTGAGCTCAAACTTGTCTGGAGGTCTGGGCCAGCAGATTCTTTGCCCTACCATTTGATACTGCTTGAGGGGTAGTTGCCGTTTCGGGATACTCTGTTCTTCAGGTCTTTTGCCTGAGTTAAGAGATAAGCTGGAAAGAAGAGCTTAAGGAAAAATGTGGGACAAAGGTCGGTGGGTATAAGCAGGTAAGTAGTAAAGGTCAGGTCTTGGGGTCTAGCCGGTGACAGTATTTCAGTATGATTTTAGTTTGCATTTCCCATATGCTGAGCATCTTTTTATGTAATTACTGACCAATTTTCTGTCTTTGTTAAGTATGTGTTCAAAGTGTGTCCTTTTTTTAAGTTTATTTATTTTGGGGGGGGGGGCAGGGAGAGAATTCTAAGCAGGCTCCACACTGTCAGCGCAGAGCCCCACGTGGGGCCTGAAACCACGAATGGTGAGTGAGATCGTGACCTGAGCCGAAACCAAGAGTTGGACACTCAACCGACTGAGCCACCCAAGGTGTCCCAAAATTGTGTTCATTTTTTAAATGATTAAAAAAAAACAAAACAATTGAGTTGTAGTGTTGTCAATAACCAACCTCTGTGTTTCGGATCCAAAATCTAACATGAAGACAGAGTTTGGAATAAAGAGGAACAAAAGCTTTATTGCTTTGCAGGGTAAAAGCAGCTGCAGCAGGCCATGGCTTTCAAAAACTGCAAGCCCCCTTCCTGCCCACCCCCTCTGCAGACAAAGAGGCTGGAGGATTTTATAGAGAAATAGAGGATCTAGCCAGTTTAGACACGAATTGTGTATGTGTTTTCAGGGTGGAACTGGGTTCCTGAAACAAAAGGCTAAGAAGGGAAGGTTTACTGAATGGAGGAGGGAAGGAAGGTTGGAGGAAGAGAGGGAAGGGGTTATTCAGTTTAAAATCAAGCTTTGCTGAAGCATTCGTGCAGCCATTTTGATTTTTGTTCAGCTTTATGCGTTTTTAAAATAAGTTACTTAAGTAATCTCTACACCCAATGTGGGGCTTGAACTCACAACCCCAGATCTAGAGTCATGCCCCTCTAACTCAGCCAGCCAGGTGCCCTTCAACTTCATGCTTTCAAGCAGTTTCAACAGGTGTACTTTAAATATTCTGACTAGAAATCCTGTTCAGATATATGCACCAAGATTTTTTTCCCTCAGTTTGTGATTTGCCTATTTGTTAATATTGTCTTTTGATGGGTACAAGTTCTTTTATTTTGATAAATTTTAATTTATCAATTTTAAGAAATTGTATAGTCCTCCATTACTTATAGACCTTCTGCATGTCTCATAGAGTTTACTACGAGCTGTGTGCCCTAAGTGTGTAGAATATAACGAGTTAATATAGAGTTAGCTCTATCTAAATGGCAATTTTTTTTTATTGTTCTTAAATTGTTACAGAACCATAGTCCAGAACAATGGTTCAAATTTAACTGAGCATATTAATTGTCCTTGAAATAGTTAAAAATAAGATTATTGGACTTAACTCCTACAGAATGACTTAGTTTCATAGGTTCTGGGGTACAGACAGGTTTGGGAATTGCTGATCTAGAAGTCCTTAATGCCTGGCCAAACTTAAAGCTACTCAATCTACCATTTTCTCAGTCAGAAGGCAGATCAGTGTTAATAGAAATGACCTGCTGCATTTTAATTGTCGGGAGCTGTTACCACCAGTGCCTTTTAATGTCCTTTGAAATAGTTAATGAGGAGACACCGGGAGGAAAAACACTGAAAAACTTTACAAAGATTCTGTTGTAATAACCATAATGTGTAACTGAATAAAATATTTCAGAATAGGAATCAATCAATTGCATGATCTGCCTTCTTTCCATCTGTGAGCTCTTGCTTTTCTTCTTCCAGAGAAAATTGCAACAAGTATTCATAGGAAGTTTTTTTTTGCTTCTTTGTTTCTTCTTTAAAAAAAACAACAATAAAACAACACTGGTTCTCCTAATGGTTTTGCAATGGACCTTAACTTGGCAGGCAATTAAACATGAAACTTCTCATTGGGTATTTTCAAGACTGCCAGGGGGAATCAGCTGCCAGTTTACTGCAATGTGGAAAACTGCATGAGATTCTGGGATTGGAATCAAAATGCTAATTTAAAAGGTCGAGTGAAGCTGAAGCTCACGTTTTTCCGTGCCTGCGCTCTCTTCAGGCAGAACAAAGACCCAGGCAGAAGAGGCAGAGACTCATCCCAAGTCTGTTTTCCTGAGATATTTTGGAATCATGCCTGAAATGCCGGAGGACATGGACCAGGTAAGAGCCAGATATTCAAGAAATGAAGCATTCTGGAGTTAGTTTCTTTTAAAAGCATCCCAGTGAATGGTAAAAACCAAAAAGGTGTGTTAAAAGAAGAAAAAAAGAAACGGGGTATCATTCATTTCTTTAAAACATGTAACTTTGGAACATGGAAGAATAAACCAAGTTTAATTATTGACCCTGGGAACCAGGTTATGGAGAGCTCAGCTAAGACTCATTAACTGACAAAAATTAAATGCAAAACAGAACAGCAGCTTCATTTGCCACATTAAATGCAATGATGTAGGTGAAGGTTCTATGTAACTAAGGATTTTATCTGTAATTGTGTGCTCCAGCCTTTCTTTGTCTTAGCATGAACTGAATCTGCTAACATAACTTTTAGCTCCAGGCTGCTCTCTTTAAATTTATAGACTTAGCCACCACACGAACTTGGATATTGTCTACAACAATGGCATTTTTGTTCACAAAGAAACTTTCATCTTTAAAGAGAATGATAAAAAACTATACATGAACATATACCTTTAGAACTATATGCAAGTTTTACCTGGGAGCTATCAGACCAGGTTCTCAAAAGTAGGTGAGAAAACTCTTGTTCCTAACTCTACACAAGGCTGCTCTGCAAAAAAAAAAAAAATGCAATGAAATCTTATTCACATTGAACACTTACTTTTTTTATTAATAGAAAAATTAGGTTGCATCGCAACGTTGTATCTAGAAATAAAAAAAAAAAACAAAAATCTCCCAGTTTTTAAAGGAGGAGGATTAGGAGGATCTTAAATTTGCCTCTCCTACCTCCCACCCATACTCACCTTTCTCTTTGTCTGCAGATTATGAATGTTTAATGCTGGGGACAGTCCTCTCAAGGACTGTCTGAATAATGCCAAACTGATTAAGGGTAGCAGCTTGCATAAAAATAAAACTCCGAAAACGAGGGGCCTCAGGTTCTCTTCCCCCACCGTTCCAAAAAAAAAAAAAGACTGTTAACACGAATAAAGAAATGAGTTCTTGTTGGGGGGTTGGGCAGAAAGGAAATTCACGGGGCTCAGACAAAGAAAAACTTTTTCAAAAGGCTGCTTAGTCTTTGGCTCTAAAGTAAACTAAAGGGATTATGAAAAGAATCCCTTTTAAGAAAAACCCAAGCATCGGTCACACTTGTGAGCGACTTTTCAGTTTTGGTATCGTGTATGTCTGAATAAGAACACTCGGATTGGAGCGGTGAAATGTTGGCGAACCCTACAGGGTCTATGGCGGGTTTTTTTTCCTGAGTAAATCTCGCAGGCATTCCAACTGATAGACATTTTGCTGTTTTGAGCTAGGAAGGAAACCAGTTGCCTGAGAGGTCGTTCTCAACACTTAGAGCTGTTGTTTCTGATTTGTTACTTTTAAGAAGTCATACAGGTGGTGGAAGGTCCAGACATTCCTCTGTCTCTTGGTTTCGTCCTTAATTTACGATGGTTACGGAGGCCAGGCTGGCGTAGCCTGACGGGGCAGTTCCTAATGTGATGCTTCTCAAAGGTGGTCGGTGGGGTTTTGACTCCTGTTAAATCCACTAAAATGTAGAGTCCCTGGTTTTATATTACCGCAGATTTTCATTCTGTAAATACAGGTAAAGTCCGAGAATCTGCGTTTTGAAGAGGCACCCAAGTTATTCCTCCCCTTACCCTCTTCTTTTTAACTTAAAAATAGTTTGATTTATTTGGAATTTGACACATACTACATTTTAGCATCCCAGAACGACAAATGGGTTGTTGAGGTTGTTAATGATTCAGATGCCAGGACTTGTATTTTTATTCTTCGTCTTTCTAAATCTCTGTAAAAAACATTCCTAATGCTGTACGTCCACTGTGCTCCCTCCTTCCCTTCTTACCTAAGCACACCCCATGGCTTTAAAATGTTTTCTCCTACTAAACGTATTTTATGCTCAGTTGATTCCCAGGCACTGCTTAGTCTGCAAACTTGAAGCCTCAGGCGATCCAGTTTAATCCTTCCCTAGTCAAGAAGAGAGACTAAGAGAGAAAATAGTACATAAAATAAACAATCTTCCCCAAAACAAAACTTGTATTCATTGCCTAAGGCCAAGGCCTTTGTTTTGTGTATCCCTTTAAGAGTTGGGGGGTGGGCTGGCTGCGTACTGGACGCTGCCCGGCCCCTTTCGGAGGCATTCACGGAATGTGGCCAATCATCGGGCGCGGCCTTGGCGGCGGAAGCCGGAAGCAGTGAACAGAGGGTCGGCCCGGACCTAGGGAGGCGGGCCGAGGGCGAGGAAGCTGCGGCCCGTGGCGATCCTGGGCTGGAGGAAGTGGCGGTCGCTGCGGCTGCGGCGCAAAGACGGCGGGCATGGTGGGGCGAGAGAAGGAGCTCTCTATCCACTTTGTTCCCGGGAGCTGCCGGCTAGTGGAGGTGAGGGAGTCGACCTGGGCGTCTCTTGCAACCGGGAGTGCAGAGGGGGACGAGCCAGGTCGAGGGGGAGGGAGGGCTTGGGTGGTTTACCTTGCGCATCCTGCAGCAATCCTAGCCCCCAGCCCTGAGTCGTCTCAGCACCTCCTTCCTAGCTCCGGGAGGAGAGGGCGGCGCCACCGAGTTTGTTTACCTCGGCGCACACCCGTTTGTGTTTGCTCTTCCAGCCCTGCGGCAGGAAAGGAGTAGGTCTGGTTTCACTTTCTTGTCTTCTGTCTCCCCTCCCAGCAACGAAGAGGCGTTTTTCTGAGCTGTTTCGATTTTGGTTTTATCTTTCTGAATTTCTTTTTCATTCTTTGTTCATATCCCTCGATCCTACCAGTTCTTATGTCTGAGAAAGTAGGGGAAAGTGGCTTTTCAGAAATAGCAGTTTTAGAGATGACAACTTACTGAACTTTTAAGTTTTGTGCAAGGCACTGTATTATGCACTTTACATGCATTATTTAATCGTCATAACTATGAGAGGATTTTTGCTCCATTTTACAGATGAGAAAATTGAGGCTTGTAGGGTGAGTCCTTGGCCCAAGTTCATTAAGTAGGCTTGGAACCGACAAATCTCTTTCACTTTCTCGGGCTTTGAACCGCTACAGAGATTGCATAAAGGAAGGTTGTTACGGTGGGAGAGCTATCCCAGGTATTGCGCTTCCTCCATTCTCTCTCATATTTCATTACAGGCCTCCCCACATTCAATCCACAGAACTGCTAGAATTTATCTAGCAGTGGGGATAAAAAGAAATGTTAATGCCTAGACCAATGTCTTATGAAAATAAGAGACGGTATGGGAGGTGGCTGTTTTTGATAATGCAGAATTTTTATGCTTTCAAGATACAGCATAGTTAGTGTTTCTAATCACTTTGGGATTTGGGAGGTTAAGTTAAATTTACGTGTTGTTCCTATATGTGCTCCTAAAGGTACTGAACACATAACGTTACATATTGTTTACATATATATGCATAGGTGTATGCAAAGCTTAATCTTTTTTTCACAGTGGGAGTTCTGCAGACTAATGAAAATAGGTTTTCAATAGGTTTTCATGATTTCCTTCATTAAAAGTGATACAGCCTAAATCTTTTTTTTTTTAATTGTTTTTTTATTTGAATGTAATCTGTACATCCATCAGGGCCCTCTAACTCACAGCCCCAGATTCAGATTGTATGCTGTGCAGACTCAGCCAGCTAGGTGTCCCCACGCTAAATCTTGACACATACTTGCTGCTTTCTCAAAACATACAGAATTAAAATTCACTTGTGAGAATGAGGACTGCCTTGCATATTGTGTTGGAGAAGACAATTGTACTGGTACCTGTTTACACTGTCTTGTAGGATAGTAATAGGGTAACAGTAGGAGTTAGACCAGTGTTGCCTAGGTACTCAGGGGATCTTGAGTTAAGTCTTGAGTCCGGTACAGTCTACTCAAAAGATCTGCCTCCAGGGGAATGTTGTATGAGGAAGGGG